AGCTGACGGCCCACAGGGAAGGATTCTCACACTGACAGAGAATCTGGAGCGAGAGCCGCAGCCCCAGCTGCACGTTCCCCCCACCGCCCCCACCCCCTGGAGCCAGAAGCCCACGCAGGGGTATGGCTCAGCACAGTGGGTCTGCTGAGCACGCTGTCTCCCCCTCCTCCTCAGGCCCCAGCCCCCCTACATCTGTGGGCTCCCTACCCCCATTTCCACAAGGGAGAGTGGAGGAGGCTTTTAAACTCGGCTGTGAGCAACTTCACTGTCCCCCAGCCTCTGAATGCCCCATCGAGCCCCCGGGATTCACAGAGGTGGGATTGCTGGGAGCCGAGTGGGGCCGGCTGTCAGAGCCTCACGGTACTCACCCCTCTCTGTTCCACTTGGAGCGGACGTAGCCCCTCTTTGTGGGGAGCTCCCCATTTCCCAGGCTTTGCTGCCCTGGGAGATGCTGACAGCCGCCAGCCTGAGGCCTGGGCGTGGGGTCTGATCAGAAGCATGGGCAGGCGGAAGGGGCTGACACCATTTGCTGTTTTTCTTGGTGTAGGTGTCCGTGAAGCCCCCCGGCTGCCATCCCCCCGGCCGCTGCATTTGCCCTGTCAGTGAGGAGACCACTGTGTGGATGCCTGCACGACTGGACTAACAGGTGAGCCCTGCCCTCATTGACCGTCCACAGGCCCAGGGTGCCCAAACTGGGGGTCTGCTCCCCCGGATGGGGTAGCCCTGCCGGAGGGTCCCTATCACTTGTGCCTGCATCAAATTCCGTTTTCATTCATATTCACTCCCTCCCTCTGTGTCTGCCTGCCTGCAAGTATCCTGTGGAGAGCCAGATCAGGGAGGGAGCGCCCCGGGCAGTGGGAGGGCCCAGCTGGAGCAGGGTAGGGGTGGGATCTGAGAGGGAGGGGTATCAGAACATGCCCCCTCAGGCCCTGGAGACAGGTACCGGGCCCAGTGGAACACTGGCACCCTGAGAAGCTCACCCGGGGTGTACCTGGCAGTGCACAGGAATCCAAACTCCCTGGTACTGGGGCCCCCACTGCGCAGTGTCTCGGTCCCAGCCAGCTGCTGGTCCTGGGCCACTCACCCTGCTCACATGCCCTTCCTGTTGTGCCTGGCCCAGCAACCCCGAGACCCCCAGTAACTCAGATGCCCCGAGAGTGTGCTGCTCCCCTGCCCAGGACATCAGCCCCGGCACCCCGAGTGGGGACAGCAGTGACCCGTTGCTTCAGCAGGTGGACCCACAGGCCCACACTTTAGGCACCTGACCTCTAAGCCGAGGGGTGAGAGGCCGTGGTGTTGTGCCATGTCCGGATGCAGGCCCTTAGCCTCCCTGAAGAAGCTGCCGGCCTGGGGAAGCACCCTTCTTACCCACCTCCTGCTCTCAGGAGCCCGGCTGACACAGGCCACCGCGTGGGCAGGGGGAGTCCCTCTCCTGGTCACCGCAACAAGCAAAGCCGCGGGGCGGCCAGGAAAAGTCCACCAGGCAGGCTCCCACCTGGGCCTGCAGGCTTCCTGCTTGCAGCCCAGACCCAGGCCCCAGCCCACAGCCTCCGAGTCATTGCCCCCCACAGCGGCCCTGTGTGTGTGGGGGGGTCCTGCTGAGAGAGCGGAACTTGGGCAGGCGAGCCCCATGGCCATGTGGGTTTGGGCATTGGACAGGTCATCTGCCTCTCCTAGAGAGAGGAACACAATGCCCACAACGCAGCCACGTTTCCTCCCCGAACCGCCATCCTGGGTGGGGTCCCTCTGCTTCCCGCACCGTGACCCATAGTCCTGGCCGTGCCTGGTCAGTGTTGCCCGGCACTATAACCCTCGTGCCCCCCACTGTCTGGCCAGCCCCGCGGGACCCCTCTGACTTCAGCCACCCCTGCTCCTGTCTCGCAGGTCACCCGCTCGCTCGATGGGGATTAACGTCGGACCCCCTGTGCGTGTCACCCTCCCACCTCTCTGCAGCAAGAAAGACAACTTTAGCACCTCTTCAGTAATCATGATGAAACTGGTATTAACTGAATGGCAATTATGGATTTTTAACTCTAACTCGCAGTAAACCAGCAAGCCACATGCGTGAGACCCAACCCAAACCCACTCCGTGTTGCCACGCGCCTGCGACGTTTGAGCAGGCCAAGAGACCGGCTCGTCCAGAGAGGATTCCACGCGTGCCCTCGCCTGCCCCCTGGGGAACACCACCGGAGCAGGGGGAGAAGCCGGTTTAATTTATCCACACAGATAGACCGTAGTCCTATTTATATAGGTAGAGCAAAGATATATATATATCTATATATACGTACACACACACATTTATTTTCCTGGTGGGGATGAGAATGGCCCCGCAGAATGCCGACCCAGAATCTATGCAAGTTCAGGAGCTGCCGGCGCCCCTGCCGGACCTGCGGAAGGCTGCCGGCAAGGAGGCCGAGCCCCGTGACGAGACAGCCAGCGACGGCTCCGTTGACCGCATCCCCGTGCGCCTCTGGGTGATGCACGGTGCCGTGATGTTCGGCCGCGAGTTCTGCTACGCCATGGAGACAGCCCTGGTCACGCCCATCCTGCTGCAGATCGGTGAGGGTCCGCCCCACCCTCCCCTCCCTGACGGGCCCTGCGCACCTGGCTGGCCGCTGCCCTGGTGTCCTCACTCTGCCTCTCTCCCTCCTCCCGCTCCTCCCCTCTCCCCTCTCCTCTCTCCCTCTGTCCCTCTCTCTCAAGCTGGGGCGGGGGCTCAGATCACAGGTGGTGGGGGTAGGGTGGTTATTGAGTGCACAGGGCAGGTCGACCCACGTGGAGAGGTGTGTTGTTTCAGCACACGGCGGGGGGCCATGGCAATGTTATGCAGGGTGGCGCTGGCATTGAGCACAGAGAAGGTCTGGTTAGAAGGCTGGAAGGTGGGTCTAGATACGTGTCTGCGGGGTCGCCAGGCCACATACGCTCCCCCTGGATCACGCACCACACTCCTTGCTGGCAGAGCCACCCCGGGCCCCAGAGTAGCACTGGCCCTCTGGAGGGTTCCAGGGGGCCCCCCTCTGTGGGCCCAGTGCTGTCCCTCAGTCCTGAGGAGCGGCTGGCAGGGTCTCAGCACAGGCGCTTCATCTGCCGTGCCGCCAGGGTGCCTCCAGGACAGACCCGCGAGCCCACGCTTCCCGGTGGAGTCAGAAGACGCGGCCAGTCTGAGTGGTTTCTGGCAGCGTGACTTCCGTCCTGCAGTCCCAAGGGCCCCAGCCCCGTCGTCGGGCAGTGGGGCGTGTTCTGCCCCTCACTCGGCCATGGTCCGGGACTATACAGGGACTCCACACGCCGTCTGCTCAGCGCGGCTGCCCACCCCTGGCAGGTGTCCCCACGGGAAGCCCCGCATCCCCTAGTGCCTCACATGGCCCATCATTGTCCCTCCTGGCCTGTGACACGTGTGTCCTCTGCACAGTGCCCTTGGGCCACAGGGTCCAAACAGTGAAACCCATCGGGGCCAAGTTTATGTTCGAACCCGGCTGGGCTGCCATCTCTCTGCACACAAGTCGGGCGGGCGGCATGAGACGGCCGAGAGCCAGGCCCCCAAGCCTGGCTCTGCAGGGTCCACAGATAAAGTGTCTTCCCGGCAGTCCTGGGAGCCAGGAAGCCAAACCCTTGAAGCATGTCGTCCGGGGGGGCTGTGGCAGCACTCCTTGGTGGCGCGTCACATTCTACTCTGACAGCAGATGCCACGTTGGTAACCGACTTGTTCCTGTTGGGGTCTAAATGTTCTTTATAGGAAATAAGGCACAAGTACCCTAACTGCCTCCCTACAAAACAAAACAAAAACCTGCCATTGTTTTGATTCTTCCTGTGAGAGAGCTCTCTGCTGATCTTCAGAGACGGTAACTCCCGTCTCTCTCTCTCCCCTGGAGCTGCTGGTGAGTTTGAACCGCTGCCTCTGCCATCAGCAGCTCGGTGTTTATCCAGCAATGGCGCCAGGGAGCCTTGCCCTCACCAGTAGCCAAGCCACTCCCGGTAGAATGGTCATCAGGCCCAGCCCCTTGCCCCCAGATTTCTGAGCTGAGACAGAGACAGCCCGGCACTCTGCCTCTGCGGAGGGTCCCTGGTGGTGCAGTGTCTGCCCGTTGGACTGCCAGCTACAAGGTCCATGGTTTGAAACCACTGGGCACTCTCGTGGGAAAAAGACAGGGTTTTCTATTCTGCAGTCTCGAAAGCCCGCAGGGGCGGTTCTGCCCTGTCCTAGAGGGTCTCTGTGAGGCAGCAGGAAAGCAAGCTTGATTGGGTTTGGTGGGCAGTGGCTGGCTCTGGCACACAGGGCCTGTGGTCTTTCAGGAGGGCCAGCCTGGCCAGGTCTGCTGTGTCCCTGCTTTGTGGTGCCGGCTCACCACTCTAGCGCTGCTCAGGGAGGAAGCCACGGGGCAGCTTGGCTGAGCGGGGTCCCCACCAGCGCCATCTGAGTGGCAGTGGTCAGGGTGTCAGCTCCCTTGGTAGCTGCGTGGCCTTGCCGAGGCCAGGTGGGCTCGGACCCCTTCCCTTGGGCTCTGTTCAGGCTGGGCTGGGGGCCCTTCCCGGGGCTGGTGAGCTGGCCAGGTCTTGTTGGGACCTGGATCTGCAGTTCCCGACCACCACCTCCAGGGAGCCTCTACCCTTTGGTGGTCCCAGCAGCACCTGGGGCTCTGTGTCCTGGTTTGAGCCTGTCTGTGCTGAGGTGGTTTGACACCGTGAAATGCCCAGCCTGGCCGCAAAGACGAAGGGGCCCAGAGTGATCCTGTGGCCCCAGCCGCTGCCTGCTGGCTGCCAGGCGCCCCCATAGAGTCCTGAAGTGGCTTCTGCAGAGCCAGGCGGGCACAGCGGTGACCCCAGGTGGTGCAGACAAAATGGGGTCTGAGAGCCTTGAGAGCCGTCTGTCAGAGGGAGGACCTGGGGCTTCGTTCACAGGGGCTTTTCCCTCGGGAAGAGGAGGCCCGCCCCCCCCCCTTCCTGTGCATTGTTCTCCTGGGGGTGCAGGAAGTTGTACTTGAGAGACAGGAAGGCTCTAGAAAAGACGAAAAGGCATTTCTCACCCAAAGTGGCTGACACTGTGGCTAATGAACAGGCAAGGTCGGCATGCCTGGGGGAATCTCTAGTGGTGAGGGGCTAACCTGCAGGCCTGTGCCGGCTGGCGTCCACCCCTATAGAGAAGCCTCAGGCCATCCACGTCACTCAGGCCAGGGAGCCCCGCCCGGGTTCACAAT